ACTTGATTTAATTACGTCAATGTTATATATATATTGTTGCTCAAGATTAAGTTTGTCTATGTCGAAAAAAAAAAACTTAAATGTTTTTACTAAAGAACTGTAAGGGTATTTAACATTTGTTCAAAGTTATAATGGTTGACTGGGTGTAATTTTGACACACACTAAACTTAATAAAGAGCAACGAAAAAAATTTTGATTTCTGAAAAAGTTTATCAAATCAAACTTTTTTCAATAAGTTAAGTATAGTTTATCTAATTGCAGTCTCTTTTTGAACTTAGTAAATTTTCCTTGGCTTCCTGAATCGAGATTTGTTTTTATCCTGTAGGATTTGTTTTTTTCCTCACTTAAGTATTAACTTGCCCTGCACTTTGCGTACTTTTTTTCATCTCTTATGTAATAGAATTTAACTTTTAACCTAATAATTTTCTTTTTTCTGCTAAATTATGTTTGATATGGATATTTCAAAATTTCCCTTGTATCTCCATAACTGGCAACTTTTCCGATTTTCCCGGAAGATTTTATTTTCATATTTAAAGTCGTTGCGAAACTAATGTTATTCCAAGAAACTTTTTAAATTATAATTATAAATGAGTTTGACCACAACTAAATCTAAGTAATTACATAAAATCTATAAAAGCATAGTCTTAACGATAGCGAATGTCAACCTGGTCAAAATAAAATTTTTTGAGTAAGATTGTTCTTCTGCAATTGTTTTGCTACCACTTACAAATTCTATTCTCGGAAAGAGTTGGCAGGTATGTATCTTAAAAAATATTGAAATCAAACAATGGTCTTGGGTGTTTTTGGAATTTAAAAACTATATATGCATTTAGAAGTTTAAAACTATGTATTTGCTGTCTGTTTATAAAGTATGAATTAATTTTTAATTTCATTGCATTGTATTGCATTTGTTACTTATTCTATTTATATTTCTCGAGTTGTTCAGAAATATCAACAAAAATTTCCGCAGTTTATTTTCTGTAGATGAGTTATAGCTGCATTTGTATGGTTAGGAGTGGAAGAACTGTACACATTTAAAAAGAGCGCGGGGAAAATTTTATTCGCGTTTCAAGCTATAAAACATTCAACTCACGGAGAAATAGAAATTTCCTTTTAAGTTATGTTTCAATGGAAAGATCTTCTGTCAAAATCCCCAATTTAACAATAAGAATTCTGTTTATATTTCATTGTATATCAGCTTAGCAACTGTGACATTGAATATTTTTAGCAATGCATACCTAGGTGGCAATTTTGAATTTATATTTATATTGGAATAAATTTTAGTTATTACTCATTGAATTGTAACTTCAAGAAATTCAATTTTTTAAGACTGTTTTTTAATATTTAGTTTACTCTCACAATATGAAGAAAAAAAAAATAAAATTCATAAATTTTATTTTTACGGATATTGATTTAAGCTTCATTACCTCGAGTGATTTTCAGCTACAGATTTAATTACAGAGCCTGATATCACTAATGTTATGTTCTGTCACTCAAGAATTTTTGAGGGATGAATTAATCTTTGCTTTCGAATATTTAAAACTTAAATCTTTTCCCCTATTTTCGTAATTATTGCGAGGAAGCAATAAATTTGTTTGAGCATAAAAACTTTTTATTTTTTTTTGAAAAATATGGTTAGGAGGAAATTATTTTGCAAAATTTAAAGGAATATTTATTTTTTGTTATATTATGTGCTTGAGAGTGCCGCTCCGGCACTCTGAATTACCTGCTAGTCTGAATGTTGAAATTTTTCATTTTAATGTTTAGTAACCACTTAATAATATGGTCTTTATGTATTATAAGATAATTTCGCAAACCGTGGTGGCTCAGAGGTAAGAGCGTTCGCCAACGAGAGCAAAATTTCTCCCAATACTTGATTATGAGGCTCTCTTGTCTTCCTGATTGGGTTCAAATTTGCTAGGCAATAGAGTTGAAAATTGGCTTTTCAACTACGGTTATAAAAATAAAACTGTGGATTTGTCTTACCTCTTAGTGATATGCATCCTTTTTTTAGCCGTCGAAAGAACCACAAGAGCAAAGGGTAAATAACTAAATAAGTCACAAAACCATCCATAAATAGGTAAAAACTTATTAATATATTTCTTTATATTGCTTTCGACATAAAGTAATATACAGAAACATTTAATAAGTGAACATTTTAGTAAATCAGGTAATATCTAAAGCAACAAATATTCCATTAAATTTTTTATAATATTTTTTACTCTTTCCAGTTTTCTCTATTACTTTCAATATGTTAATCTATTTTTTTTTCTTTTGATCGTATAAAAATCTCGATATTATGATGTAGCATCTTCATTGGTTCCAAGACATCGGAAAGAAAAGATTATTTTAATTTTTTTTAAAATAAAAATCCTTATTTCAAATTTTGGAACATTTCTATTAAAATTCTTAGAAGCAGTTCACATTTATTTTTAATTTCAATTCTTTAAAAATGTAATTTTAATAATCGTCCATCAAATCTACCGAAAATCTCAATTTTCACGAGAAATTTCTTTACATGTTTAAAATGATATCAAAATGTATTCCTATTTTTTTTATTTGGGTTTTGCATAGCTGCTCCATAGTGATATTAATCCCTACCGAACATATCATCTTTTTCATTGGCACTACAGCCCGGGGTGGGCCTTAGTATCCCTCACAATATTTCTCCAGACAGCTCTGCTTCTGACCTCGATCTTCCTGTTGAAGATCCTTAAACTTTCTGAATCATTCCAGACAGATTCCATTAACCCTTTCTTTGGTTTGCCTCTGGGCCTATTGCAGGTGAATCTCTCAATGGGACAAGTCATGAAAACCTGTGCTTTGATGAATTTAACAATGTTTCTGTGTTTGATTAGTGTCCAGTTCATCATTAGTTTCTCATTAGTTAATATAAATATTCAAAATTAACACGCATAACATGTAAATAATCGAAATAAATGCATAAAAATACGAATTTTTTCTAATACTATTAAATATTCAATTTAAGTAATTCTATCTAACAATAATAGCCGTAGCTTTCAAGTCAGTTGTTACATTACCGGCAGTGTTAAGGGCAGAGAAGCTGTAGATTTTCTAAGTGTTTTTTTTTTTTTTTACTTTCTGTCAATCGAAAAAGTGGCATTATGCACCGTTGGAAAGATGAAAAACTGATCGATTCTATGGTGTTTAATTATTATGGAAAATAATATTAGTAAGTCCGAGTTAACTGCTTCCCTCACAAATTTTTTTGTACCAAAAAAAAAAAAATCAACATATATTTTTCATTTTATTAAATACAAGAAACTACAACAAAGCATAATATACAAGTTCTAAGTTGAAATTTTAATTTTTTTATGTGTGAAAAAACATTCAATTTACCATCAGTTTACTATCCCGGTTTTCATCAGACAAATGAATAAAGTTAAATATTTGTCTTTGATACTATCTTTGTATATACTTTGTATATACAATCACACAAAATACGTATACTGTCCCACAATCCAACAGCAAAACTCCCAAACAAAACTTGGCAAACTTCTAATCACTGCAGATTATTATTTTGATTCCTACCGAATAAAAATTTATAAAACAAAACGTACCGACAAATTCTGCAACTCCCGAGTTTTCACGGGATAATAATTATTTGCAATATATACATATCCGAGTAACTCTGAATAATCAGGGAAGCGATTAATAAATAAGACAATAATTATTAAAAATTATTCTTTGGCATTGAATTACTTTTTGAATAAATTAATTTTATAATTGTGTGCAAAAACTTTTTGATTCGCAAAGTTCGCGATGTTGTGAAACAAGAAAAAAAAAATTAGCACTAAGGGGTCCTTACTTTCTACCGCTCTCCTACCTAAACTATTCTCACCAAATTTCCCAGATTGCGGCTACCCCTAATCATTAAGATTGAGTCCTAGCACGTGAAAAACCGATCATTAAATCAAAAGTTATTCCATATCTAATATTTATAAGTAGATTCTAACATAGATATAATAGTATGAATCGTAAACAATTGACTATAGCTCCCTTTTAAATCTTCGTAAATATTTGTTTGATCATTTGTGTTTAAAGAGGTACTAATTAAAAATACTTTGCCTTTTTAGAGAGTTTATTACTTGTCATTGGAATACTTAGTTGGGCGTTCATTATCGAATACCATGATAAATCTTGGAATTCAGAATACCTGTGATGAAGCCTTATATCAGGTTTGTAGAAATTATTTTTATTTTATTTTAATAATTATACTGGGAAGTAAAATGATAAAAACTTTTGATTCACGACTTATACATTACCTAAGAAGCCTTGAAAAAATATTAAAGAGTAAACTTGATTTAATTACGTCAATGTGCCGTTTTTTATATTTTTTTTGCATAGTCTTTTTTACGATCTGGGCACGCTCTGACGAGAAATGTCAGAACTATAAAATTAAAACAGTTGAATATGTTGTCAGTAATGTCCGAATAATTACTTGAGAAAATGTAATACTTTAATTAAAATATTACAAAATGGTTCTTTAATTTATTATGGTAGTAAACTTGATTATTTAAAGTTTAGTTTTAGTTATAATTTTGGTAGATTTTTTTATTTAGGTTTTTTACACTAAATGTGTATTGTTATTAAAAATTTCACACTTAACCATTTTTATCCTTTTCGAATTAAAATTAATCCTTCGTTTCAATTTAATTTACAATAAACTTTGTATTCTTTGCCTACTTAACTTAAACTTAAAATACATACAAAATGTTTAGTCAAGGTATATAGCTTTATTTAACGCTGATTTTATTTGGATATTTTTAATAAAGAAAAATAAACTATAATGAACGTCTATTTAAATGTAAAGCAACTTCTCAAACTGAGTTAAATTGTTAGGAGGTAGGTAACTACCTCACACAATCTGACTTTTAAATATTATGCTGTTTTTCTTTTGAAAAACAGGGACAAACTTTAAAGTTAGGGCATAATGGAATTTTTTTTTATACCAAGGAACATTTGATCTCTGACTCAAAGCTGCTTTTTAAGTCAATGTAGTCTGCAACAAAGCAAAATAGGTCAGATAAAGGGATATCAGATAAAATATGCATAACAAAAATTTGAAAGAAAATGTTTTTAAACTCGTTGCGAAAATTCATCATTTAAACAGAAAGAACAGACAAGCTCTCGAGAAACAAAACTTACAAGGGCAATTATAGTAGTATGTTGTTGTCAAAATAATTTAATTTATCATTTGTGCCGTGATTATTTTATATTCGTATGATGTTAAATTTTAATTAAAAACGTGTCTAATTTATTTGGTATTCATTAGGTTTTACTTTTTATTTACTGATAGTGAATATCCATGCGCTGCGCATATTTTTCACCCTATGTTCAATGGTAAAATTTGTTTTTGTATACTCAGCCCCACACCCATAAATACTGTTGATCTACAGAAGAAAAATGCTGTTTCAAAAAACTTATTTAAAATGTATTTAAAATTTTCTACAATAACTGAAATGCTGCTTCTAGTATTTTTTTATGAAATTTAAAAATCAATACAAAAGAAAATCTTAATCATTGTACTCATTTACTCTACAGTTAGGCCTAAACATGGAAGAGCTCCAGGAAATCGAAGATGATGCTGGACTTGGAAATGGAGGATTGGGCAGGTTGGCGGCTTGTTTCTTGGATTCAATGGCAACTTTAGGTATGGCAGCATATGGATATGGGCTGAGATATGAATATGGCATTTTTACTCAGAGAATTAAAAACTTTGAGCAGGCAAGTATTTTTTTTTGTTCCATGAGCAGTGTTAAATATTTAATACGAAGTAGAAGAAATTACAGTTTAAAATATTATATAACTTTAAGAAATAAATAATTATAATTTTTAACACCGGTACTACTCGTATGTTGCTTGTAATCCGTATTATGCAGTATCGTAACCTAATAATTGGTTCCACAACCCTCGAAGTAGCACAGTGAACTTTCCTCCGTTTCCCCCCCCCCCTAATTTACAGCCCTGTTTAAAACAGGGTTGCAGTGTTTTCACTACAGCGCGAGAACGCGAGAATCTCGCATATTTTTTTCTTTTCTCGCATTAAAAAATTATTACCGCGAGAAATTAGCGCATTCTATAAATCAAATTTGAAAATTCGCGAATTTCTCGCATTTTGGAAAAAGCTTCGAATTACGCCATTTAGAATAAAATCCGTTTCACTTTTCTTCCTGGATCTTTCATTATTTCCAACATCTGCCCCGTTATCTAGCTTCCCTATTTACCAGTATTGTTCAGAACCTTTTCGAACAACAGAACACGACCACGGGATCCCTTTCAGAACACATTTCTCTGCAACTACGTGTTTATAATATACGTAATATACGTAAGGTTTCTTCATGTAAGATAATAAAATTTTTTATGTGCTAATGTAAGATGGACAAATACCTTGTAAAGGCAAAATCTTCTATGATGATGCACCAAAAATATTCAATGCTTTAAAAAATAGAAGACGTTAAAAATCTATTATAATTAAAGAAATGATTTTTATTTTCGAGAGTTTTTGTGCTTTTTTAGTTTTTAGAAATCTCACTTAACTTTTTGAAACCTCACGCTGTTTTTGAGAAAGAGTGAGAAATTCTCACCCATTTTTTTTTCTATGATGAAAACACTGCTGTTAGGTTTAAGTTACTTTGACTACAAAATACCATTTAGGTAAAGCGCAGTAGAACGGATTCAGTTTCTTGCTCCATAAAACCATACATTTAACATTGATGTATAGTTTATTTTGCTGAGACTCCTAGTAACTTTAGAAGATTTAACTACAAACTTAATCTATAAGAGTAACACGCTTAAATCAAAGATTAGGACTGCAACTTTTTGGTATTTTTAAGTTTTTTTAAATATTATTCCAAACACATAAAAAGAACTATCAATATTCTTTCTAAGTATCACAAGTCTCCACAAACATGACATATTCCAATTAGTTTTCCTTTTTTCTTTCTCCAGTATTAATTAATCAGATCGATGTAGTCCCTTTAAATATTTTATCTTGGCGTCAGACTTAGTTTGTAACATTTGAATCATGTTTCGATTTAGTAATAGCGCTTATGTTTGGAACAGTAAAGCTAATTTAATTTACTCTGATTTTGAATTTAAATGAATCAATTTATTCTACTGAAGGAGATTATGGAATAGGCATTTGCCTACAAAAAACAAAAAGAAATATTTAAAATCTGGATAGAAATTAGTTTTAAGACTTACCGTATCATGTATTAATATTTTTAAATCGTTATACTCTCTTGCAGGTTGAAGAACCAGATGACTGGCTGAGATTTGGAAATCCTTGGGAGAAAGCAAGACCAGAGTACATGATCCCAGTCAACTTCTATGGAAGAGTGGAAAAAACAAAACAAGGTTCCAAATGGGTGGACACTCAAGTAAGAGAGGCTCCTTCTAATGATTTTAGATTGTTCATGTTCGTAGTAAATAAACTAGCTCTTTCATTTTATTATTTAAATAGCAATAAATGCACTGTCAGTGTTTCTCCTTAAAACACATCTCCATCTTTCAGGTAAAGAATACATATAACTTGTATAAAAACAAAAAAATAACGTGAACAAAAACTCAGCAAATGAAAAGATTGGGTTTAATAATTTTATGCTATAATCTTTGAAAATGGACGTAAAAATATGAAAGTAATGTCTAAATGTTGAAAAGTGCATTTGTGACAATTATTTGAAATAGTGGCTAGTCCTAAAATTTAAAGTATATTTCTAAAAATTTAAATTATACGCGGTTGACTAATTCAATAAAAAAGGGGCAATATGCCTCATTAAAACCTCTTAAACTTCTTGACAGAATGTATTTGTTAACTACAGTTGTCACACGCATGACTATAGGAAAATAACATGTTATTTTTGCAAAAAATCAGGTTCCGTGACTGAGGTAAAGCTGCTGCATGGCACCTACATGAGTACTGGATGCTTTATCAATCGGAGATCTTAAGTTCTATAAGATAACGCAAATATAGCAATGCTTACTATGAATACTTGACTACTCTTTCTTGTCTTTTTTTTCGGATAAGTATATTTAGATTTTTAGGCTTAGTTTACACAAATGTTGTTGTAGAAGAATTTATATTAAAAAACATTAAACACAAAAAAATGAGATGTAAAGAACATAAGGTATGGTATATATAAAAACTTAATATATACTTAATTAAATGTAAAGTTTAATAAATATGAAATAAAATTAATTAAAAATTCTGCTTCTGAAGACCAAAAAAATTAAATTACAACAGTACCTATATTAGTATATTGGGCAGTATCACACTTTAGCAAAGTACTTATAATCACAATTAAGAATCACTGGTGAATATATAAAACATTTTGAAACACGCGAAAACTAGTACCAAGCAATTCGATTTAGCTTTTCTCAAAGTAGCTCTTGTTTCATTTGTTTTTAATTATGATTACTGTGATAAAACAATTTATCCTATTTCGTATGAATTTAGTAGTTCAATTTTCATAGATGTAAAGAAATCAAAAGAAAAAGAAGTTGTAGTAACATTTATGATTTTTCAGTTTTAAGAAATATGATGTAACACTTTGTTATTTTTAGTTGGTTTTTGCGATGCCGTATGACAGTCCAGTTCCAGGTTTTCGAAACAACTTTGTCAACACCTTAAGACTGTGGTCCGCTAAATCCCCTAATAGTTTCAATTTACGATTTTGTAAGTTTGCTTAATTACGAATTCTAATTAGTACTTTTATATAAGTTTTATACTAATTTGCTTTTAATATTTTTAGTCAATAACGGAGATTATATTCAAGCAGTTCTGGATAGAAATCTCGCTGAAAATATCACAAGGGTCTTGTATCCTAATGATAATGTAAGTCCAATAAAAAATTTTTTGCTTATTATATTAGAATTTCTATAAATGTTTCTAAATAAAATAAAATCAAATTTATTTTTGTGAATTTTTATTTTATATACTTATAATATAAAGATTCAGGGGTGATTTAAAATTAAACACCGACTTTTATTATCGGTCAGGTACAAAAGTGTAGAAATTTTTACAATCAAAAAATCATATTCACAAAGGGTGCAAAACCCATAGAGCATCTCGGTCATAGGTTTCAGCCTGAAATTCTCTGATATACTGCGAAAAAATGTTCTCGGTTTTTCTGCCCTGATGTCATTTCCTAGTTATTGATTTACTAGCAAATAATTTTGACATGATTCAATAGTGAAAATATCTGTTAATGTCTGAAATCCTTTAAAAACTTCAGTTTAGAGTAACCTATATGCGTTGACATTGTTTTTAGCGAAAAACAATTCACAGTTTATGTTATTTAAGAAATGTCACAATTTCGGCATTTGATTCATGACAACAAAATGAAAGTATCTTTCATTAAACTTTTGCGTAAAGGTTTTATTTCTTTTCAATAATTTCTTTTAGATAATTTGTATTTTTAGCATTTAATGAGCTAAATCTTTTGAGATTATATTTAAAAATATTTGAAAGGTATTTAAGTAATTTTAAGTACCACAATTATTCCATATGATTTTTTGAACATTTTTTTACACCCCTACGTAGTTTCTAATAACAAGCTATCAAGTTTCTAAGCAAGCCAAATGAATTGCGATGCAAAAGAGTGGGAAAAATTACAATAACTTTCGAATAAATTAGAATTTTAAAAACTAAAAGCCCTTTAAGCGTGTCAAATTTCAACTCTATAGTTGCGTTTGTGAGGCTAGTAGAGCGGTCTGAATGGTTTTTCCTTTCATTTTAATAGTTACTAGTACCTGAACAAAACATCGCATGTTAAATTTTTTCTGTCAAAATCCATATACATTTTTATATACATCAACGTAATTTGAAGTTTCTAAACCTAATAGTTTTGCGTAGAAAAAAAGTCATTAAGTTGAACACCAAAAACAGCGGCAGTAGACCTTACAATATTTGAATATAAAGATATTTTTGAGAATTGAGGTAGGGTGAGTGAATTGCCAGTGAAGGAACACTTAAGCTTCGCTTGACTTTTGAAAAATCATATTAATTTCAAAATTCGTCATTTTAGTTAAATGACAGTGTCAACATATTTGTTACTAATTACAAATTATTTTAAAAATTTTTAGAGAACTTACATAACATTGTTTTAAAGTTTTGGAGGTTTAAATAACAAGTAGTAAGAAGACCAAGTGAAGGAACAGCTCTTACCAGGGAATGAACACCCAGTAAAGGAACACTTAATTTTGGTTATTTTTTAATGCTTTTTATGAATTTATAAGCCATACAAATATTTAAAAACAAGCCTATTCTTGAAATTATATTATATAAATACTTGGAAAATGTTAACTTTTTTTGTAATCATGAATTGAAAATTAAAGTGTCAACATATTAACACATACTGTTCATTCACTGGGAAATCTAAGCCCAGTAAAGGAACATGCCTGTTCCCTCACTGGTTAGAAGCTGTTTTTCGTATTTTTAACATACTTTTGAGGCAGAACATCACTAAAGGTACAAGAAAATTAAAATTTATCTTTTATTTTCATTAACTTAGAAAAAAACCCAGTAAGGGAACACTTGTTCCTTCACTGGTTTTTCATCGTTTGGTGATCCAGTGAATAAACACCCCCTTATCTCAGTACTTGATTATGCTATGGTGCTTTAAAAAAATAAAACGTAACTTCAATAACTATATTTTGCATTCTCTTTTTCACAGTGAGAAAAATAAGACTATTACATGCAAGTAATTCCACTTCAAGCATACAAATACAAACACTCACCTTATAATTTTTTCAAAGAAACAAGGTGTTACAGAGATAATAACAAATTCAAAATTTTTTACAGAGAAATCTATTTGACCAGGTAATCCAAAACATTGATAGATGACTTCCTATTGTTTGGCAGTAAGCTATTGTTACCAATCAATCTAAAGAAAAACTTTCAAATTCTTATTCTTAATCAATATATATGAAATGTTCCTTCACTGGTTGGTTTACCCTATGTCTTTACAAGAAACTTACAATATTACGTATTTTTTTTTTTTACTACTACTTACTACTTTTTTTTTACTACCTACTGTTAGTTCACACTCACCCTATATATATTTATATATCTTGTTCAAATTTTCAATCGTTAATAACATGTTTTTTATTCATCCATTCAAATACAAATACATTTTTTTAAACTTATAGTGGATGACACTTGATGTTAACAGTTTTTTCAAACATTAATTCATTAATTAAATTTAATTAAATAATTTTTTAATATGAAAGAAAAAGCTTCTTTGACAAAAATAAACTTTTTCTTTGTTGACTTAAGTAGTAATAGTCTATAAAATTTTTATTTTATATCACTTGATTGATTTTAATAAAATTTGTACAAAATGTTTTAAAATTAACTTGATTTTATCGCGTGGTAGTAAGTCAACGCACATTATAAGAATAGAGTTTCATTGTTTTGAATTAGTTTTTGCAATTACGTACTTGTAAGCACACTAAATTCATATTAAAAAGTATCTTTTAAGAATAGTTTTAACAAAATAACTTATTTAGAAATTATCTATTAATTCTCATCTTTATATGCTTCGATTTTTTATTAAACTTGTTTTTTCCATGAAGCAACTAATTCTATTAGGTTGAAAAGTTTAAGTTATTCTAATTTACTTAAGAAACGAAAACAATCTATGATGCAAGTTTCTATTTTTTGAAGTTATTTAATAAATTAAAATTTTAGAAAAAAGCATATCACAAAATTACCTTTCAGAACGTTTATTTATTTTCTTCTCGACTGAATCAATAATAACAGTGTAATGAATTGAAATGTAACTTTCTATGTGTTTAAGGTCATTCAAAGTTTTAATGATGTTTTCTTTTCTGTAATTAAGGCATTTGAAGGCAAAGAATTGCGATTAAAGCAAGAGTATTTCATGGTTGCGGCCACACTTCAAGACATAATTAGGAGGTTTAAAACCACGAAATTTGGATCAATGGACCCAACTCGAACATCATTTGAGAGGTTTCCAGAAAAGGTTAGTCGAACAAACCAGGATTTTTTTTTCATCTTAACGTTCCAGTATCAAGAATGCTTCCAGATTTTATTGCCAACTTATAATCTTTGCATTTCCTTTTAGGTAGCACTACAAATGAATGACACGCATCCTGCTATTGCCATACCAGAATTAATGAGGTTATTAATTGATGTTGAAGGTCTATCTTGGGAAAAGGTAAACATGATCGATGTCCATATTGTTCTTCAAAGTAAACATATAAAATTTTTTACTCTTTTACTTCGAATACAAATACAGCATATTAAATATATCTACGTAAACTAACATGCTAAACTTTTTTTAAAATTTCTAATGGCTGAACTGCTGACAGGAAAACATACAGTAAAATTGGAATAAGAAACAGAGATAACAAAACCGAAACTACTGTAATCGTTCATCTTGTGCTGAGATCTCCAGTATTTCTCCAAGTGTCCAGATTCCAGTGCAGGGCAATGACTCAAATGGTTGGCGTCCATTTCTTCACTAATGTTGCACAACTGGCAGAAAGGACTTGAATGAATTACATGCAGAACTAAAGTATGGAAGATAATTAAAACTATGTTTTTTAAGTGCACCGAAGCAAAATTTTTGTCAAGAAGACATGGAATGCGTAAAAAACGTCGATCTTCACCGAAAATTCTATATTTTTTGTTTCAGAAGTGACAAAAGTATTCTTTTCTTAAGTAACGTAATTTTCGAAAAATTTAATTTTTAATTCAAAAAATAGAGAACCAGCAATGGTTTTTGAAATTTTTTAGCCATATTACTAGAAAGCATAGCGTACAAACTCTTTCTGAAATCATGTCACATATCTGTTTAAAATAATCGATTAGCATAAAATTTCCATTTATTAAATTTTGTATGTGAATGAATATTCTTTGACAAAGATTTATGAAATCTAAAAATTATTTTACAAAATAAAGGTTTAATCGAATAATTTTTTGCAGGCTTGGGATATAACTACGAAAACATGTGCATATACCAATCATACAGTTTTGCCTGAAGCATTGGAACGATGGCCCATTTCAATGTTCGAATACATCCTTCCTCGTCATCTTGAAATTATATATGAAATAAACGCTTTGCATTTAAAAGTAAATATAACACCACAATATATGAAATTAATCTAGAGTTTTGTTATATCTTAGACTAATCCTTTAAAATTTATCACACAGAGAGTTGAAAAAGCATATCCTGGTGATATTGACAAACTACGTCGCATGTCAATGATTGAAGAAGGCGATGTAAAGAGTATAAATATGGCTCACTTAGCTGTTGTTGGATCTCATGCTGTGAATGGTGTAGCAGCAATTCATTCCGGTTTAATCAAAACCACAATGTAAGTAATCATAAGTTTTTTATGATCTTGTTAAGATGTTTTGTTGCTATTTTTATGTATTTAACGTATTTTTATTTACCAATCGTTACAAAAGTTTGACGCAAATCACTGTATATAATGCGCTGAATAAGTTTTAAGATTTTCATTTGTATATGTTTGCCATGACCATGGATGGTTTTTATCAGATTTGATTTTTATATATAATATTTCTTTGTCACAAATCATGAAAAATATACATCATAAATAAACAAAACAAATTTAAACTTTAAATTTAATCATTGAACAACCTGATCAATTCTGGTCGTTGAGCAAGAATTTAATGCAATTGAATATTAATTTAAATAGTTTTTAATTGCTATACAACAAGGATCAATATGAATTACGAGTGAAAAAAATTAATGTTTCATAAGAGAGCCGTGGTGTTTCAGGGGAGAGAGGCTGGCTTCCCATTGGTTTAGAATCCCAGCAATCGCTTGTCGATACGAATTCCATACCAGACTCGCACATACCACAGTGCTGACTTAAGATATTCTCATTAGTAGACGGATTAGAGTATGATTATGATAATCTAGGGAGGTTTTCGTGGTTTTCCTTTCTATGTAATGCAAACATGGGTTAGTTCTATGAAAGTCTTCTATGACGGCAAATTTCTCCCAATCCTTGATTGGATTTTTTAGATTGGGTTCAAAGTTACATGGCTATGGAATTGAACTTTGGTTGTCGTAAACTCAAAGTTTAATCAGTTGTTAAACGACGGTTATGAGAAATATTTTGTCTCAAATAAAATTATTTAAAATATTATAGGAACTAGCAAATCTCTCGAGGGTATTCTTATTTTTTTATGGTTAGATAAATCAAGTGTTTTATTGTAATGCAATTTAAAAAATAACAAGTGTTTTCTTTACGTTTTTATACTCTTACTACAATACAACGAGTGTAGTTCCTTAAAAGTGCTAATTATATAGTAGAAAAAAAGGAAGTATAAAAGCCATTTTTATAGAAGTTAAATTAATTCTTGCATAGTAATTAGGCTTTCAAAAATGTCTAACTACATTCGATTAAATATTTGATATATACATGGAATTCGGGCTAAGCAGCCTGAATCGAATCAGTTGTTAAATTTATGAAATTGTTAAAGAGGTACTTTTTCGGCTAAGCCATTGAGATAAGTGTTTTTTATATATTTGCGTTACGAATGAATATAAAGTATTTTTAATGAGATGAGGTCAAATGTGATAATGAACAAATGCTCCGAACAGAAGTGTAGACCTGCTCCAATGGAAGCTTTCTTTTTAATGGAAGAAAATTAATAGAAATATGTTCATTAAAAAAAACCATAAACGAGCAATAAATGGCAAAATGGCAAAAGCCATAAATGAGCAAAATATTTAGAGCAAACCAATTTTTAGTGTCTTGTAATTTGGAATAAGTTTCTTTAGTGCTGTAAATTGTTTATGATTAGACGTGGTCTTGTAACTAATAGTGAAATTTCCTATAAATTTCAACGTGACGCTTAAAATCTTAATAAAATAAATAAAAAGTTCACAATTCTTTTAAAATTTTCATGGTGTTGAATTGATTTAAGATATAATTTTAGAATTGGAGACAAATTTTACTCCATAATCGGACGGTGAATTATTAACTATACTGATGCATTTTAAAACTGAAAAAATGAGAAATTAATATAGTAAGTAATTTGATCCATAAAAATACCCATACAAGCGTGAATACAGGCTGTTTAATCAACTTTACATTCTACTACATTGACACGGAAATATAATGAATAAAAATTATTTTAATAGAAAGGGTCTTAAGCAAATACAACACATATGGCAAAAATAATGTAACAAATTTATAACTAATAAAGAATTTATTTTTCATTTGAAATTTAACATATAAAGCGTATGTGAGCTCTAATTTCCAAAAGTATTTTACAAGCCACAAATTAGAATATTAAAAAACTGATTTAGTATGAATATCAGAGCTTAAAAAAAATACGTGCATATTCATATAATAGTTTTTTTAAAATTATGTTTTACAGATTCAAGGATTTCTATGAGCTTGATCCCCAAAAGTTTCAGAACAAAACCAACGGAATAACTCCTCGTAGATGGTTGGTTTTATGCAACCCTGAACTTGCTGATACAATAGCAGATGTAAGAAATGCCTATTATTCTGATTTTGTTTCGACTTGAAAAGAGAATGCAGGGAAAAACACTGTCATATATTAAAACCTTTCTAATTTATTCGCCATACTCTTTTTATCTATTCAAGCAGAGTAAATCTGAACAAGACTGCATGAGTTCTAGGAGAGGTTTATATCGTTTCGGTATTAGATTTTAAATCACAATTTAACGACTCTCCTTAAAGATTTGGAGACTAATTTGACAAGCTCTCCAAATCTTTAAGTGGAGTCGGTAGGGCATATCTCAACAATGCTAAAACTTACTTTTTTCGATGTACCTTTTCTAAGAAACCACTTATCACTTTGAATGTTTTGGGTAATATTTGAGATTATATCAGTTTCATACTGTGATAATGCGTCAGCCTTAAGCCCTTAACGCACAGATTTTTTTTTAAAAAACCGGGCCGAAAAATAAATTTTTCTTTTTAATGTAAAACACACTTTAGAGCAAGGTTTCCATTTGTTGCCGCTTCTGGTTCAACTTTTCTTTTGATGGAAAATTTTGATATACTGCGCTTTTATTCCATGGAAAATGACTATATTTTATTCTTGAATAAATAAGTGTTATAGCTTACAATCCTATGTAAATGACAAATATCAATAAAACGATTTTTTTTCTTAGCTTTCACATTGTTATTTTCAATTCTCGATTATATTCGAGTGTGAAAAATTATAGCAGCATAAAATACAACGCGCTCGAATTATTTTGAGTGTGCACAGTTTGGCCTGTTTAGCACGCTCGAATTAACTCGAGCGTACAAGTTAAGGGGTTAACGGGAATACTTTTTGAATTATGGAGGATTTTTGATGAAACTTTTTAAAAAATTAAAAGTTCTTCCTTCATGTTTTTTAAAAAAAAATTCTGTTAAAGATAGGCACTAACAGTTATCACGGAGTAAACGTCTTTATGTAAATATTCTGTGAAAAAAGCTGAAGCAATAGCTTATTTAGATGCTGAGGAAAGATACATAGAAAAATGTTAGTTTTAGCGTTATTGATATATGCTCTACCGATTCCCCTTAAATTAAGATTTAAAATATAATATCTGTTTTCCAAAATCCGTTTTATACAATTACTAGAAAACATGGATCAAGATAATTTAGATAAATCAAAGTAAATGTTCAAAGACATATGTGGAAACAGTTCATAATGAGGAAGCGCTCCTAGTGCCTTACGATGTTTTTTCCCGTCATGGGTTCCTATGCAATTCTCTATCCTTATGATTTGTTCTACCTCTCCTAGAAGCTTTGCCGTCTTGTTCAGACCTACCCTGCATATAAAAAATAGAATGATATAATTTAGCATTGCAGATATAATTACTGCAGTTTATATCATAATATATAAAAATTATGCATGTTTGAATACTTGTGTTTAACTGATTCTAGCTTTTTTATACTTAAAATGCACTAACCTATCATGAATACTTGTAACTAATTATAATTTTGTTACTCTCTCGATTTTTACGCAATCCAGCATCCGACTTTCGTATTGTTACTCTTAACTAAATTGAAAAAATTCAAGACTCTGTTTTTAAGTTCATTAATCTTCCAATTAGCATTTGTCACAAATTCCTTTTCTGGCAATAGGCCATTTAGACAAGGCATTTCATTTTAGACGAGAATTTTAAACATGTCTGGTATATGTAGCTAATAAAACGACTGTATAAAGTTTTACTTTCTATCTCTCTCTATATACATATATATATATATTTATAAAATTTTCAGAAAATTGGTGATGAGTGGATTATCCACCTAGAGCAACTGAAGAAAATAATACCATTCTTAAAGTCTTCTAGCTTCGTACAGAAAATACAACAAGTTAAAAACGTATGCCACTTTCTTTTATAAAATATTTCTTTTATTAACTGCAATCAAATGTTGAATAAATAACAATTTTATGAAAGAAAAATTAACCTTTTCTTCCCTCGACAGGAAAATAAAATGAAATTAGCTGATTTGATTGAGAAAGACTATGGCATAAAGTTAAATACTGAATCTATCTTTGACGTACACGTCAAGCGAATACACGAATATAAAAGGCAACTTCTGAATTTGCTGCACGTTATCACCATGTACAACAGAATTAAAGAGAAACCTAATGCTCCATTCGTTCCCCGTACTGTCATGATTGGGGGAAAGGTAATCTTAAATTTCTTTTCTTATTTGTTATTCAGATTAAAAATTCCATCGGTTATTGACATTTTGTGAAATCATTGCATATCTACCTTTAAATCATATTTGTAAAAAAAAACAGGCTGCAGGATTTTCAGTAACATTCACCCATATGTTTAATTTTAGGCCGCTCCAGGATATCACATGGCAAAGCAGATCATCAAGCTCATATGCAATGTTGGAAGAGTAATAAATAATGACCCAATAGTTGGTGACAAACTTAAACTTGTGTATCTAGAGAACTACAGAGTAACTTTGGCTGAAAAAGTGATTCCAGCTTCAGATTTGAGTGAACAAATTTCTTTAGCCGGCACTGAAGCATCCGGAACAGGCAATATGAAATTCATGGTGAAAACATTTTTGCAATTTGTTATTTTTTAAAAATGTTCTCTTTAATTAATTTGCTCGCGAGATCTCAACAACTATAAATCTGACGCAAGTTACCTTTAACTCCATTTAAGAAGTTTTAAATTAAATATTTTGTTTTGAATCTTTGAGCATCAAACATCAGATATTAAAACAAAACAAAAAAAATCTGAAAATTTTTTTCGATTTTTAACAAAACAGGAAATTTTACCTTAACTTTTTTAAAATACAAATTTTGAATCGTGTATTAAAATAATACTTATTTATAAAAATAATACGTATTATTTATTCTAAAGAAATTGATTCTTGCTTTTAATTTCCTTTCTGAATTTTTGCTTTTAATTTTGAATCTCTGTGGTATGACTGCAACTGGCTCTTAAGCTGTAAAATTAAACATAAAGTTTCTCTCAATTTGCACCTCTGGAGCTTATTTTCCTTTCTATAGATTACCTCTGTTATTATAATGTAGATTGAGATTTTTTTTAAATAATTAGTAAATAGCTCATGAAAACTGCAGAGTGATGGTCAATGTAAGCATATATGGTCCTAAATTGAACTAGTTTTCATTAGCTTTACATTTGACTAATGTTGGTAAATATTTTTTGCGCCGCTTCACTGATTGTACAATGCACTGATAAAAAGAAATAATGACCTGAACAACTTTTGATCTCGATGTCAGATATAGAAATTTAAGCGTAATTTTTTTGAATTATCTTAGTTAAAATTATGACGAAATACATAAAGTGGAATGAAGTTTAAATGTTTAAATTTCAACTGCTCTCACGACTAAACTATTGGGACCATATTTGCTAGAGTACGGTTACCACCATATTTTAAGGATAGAGAATCCGTAAACCTGAAAAAACAGAAGAGAGAAAGCTTTGTGTTTAAATTTATAATTCAAAATATTTCTTGCTTAAATTAATGAGAAATTTAAGATTAGACCATTGAATAATTAAGATGGTAAAAGAGGGCATGTTAGTAATTGAAAAAAAAAGATCACTAGATCAAACTTTAAATTACTTTTTTTTTTTTTTTGGTTTGAATTCTGTATATTGAGTTTTCTTTCTGTTTTGAGAGATAATGACTTTAGGAGCCTTACTCCTAGCTCTTACATGGGACTTATTCAGCTTAGGCAAAGACTGCTTTAACTCTCCGTCTATTTTTCTATAATTTTCTTCAAACTTTACTTGCAGTAGGGGAGAGTGGGGTCAATTGTAACATTTTTTACTTAACTATTTTTAACTAACAAAAAATCCAATATATTATTAGTATTCATTGACAGACGAGTAAAGTAGACTATCCTCTATTAGAAAAAAAAATAAACACCTAATTTTAAATGTTAATATATTAGTTATTAACAATTTTTGACAGTCGAGCACTTGTTACAATTGTTCCCACTTACGGGGTCAATTGTAACAGTTCATAAATTCAACTAAAACATAGTTAATTATACATATTATCATAGTTGTGATATATTTCTTTATTGATTAAAATAGTAGTGATATTTTAGGAGTAAAAATAATAATGAGCAGAGACCTAAAGTGTTAAACTTTTAACTTTAGGGGGTTAAACATTTTAATTTATGCTGTGAAAGGTGATAAATAAAATAATGCACATGCAACATAATATAAATGATAGAGGAAACCATTGGTGGTTCTTAAAGACTTAAGTAATGGTTTGTAAACATAAGATTATTTATTTTCAGCTGTTACAATCGTCCCTTTGCTTATTGTTACAATTGTCCCCAAGATGCCATTTCAGCTTCATTTGTTAAAAACAATGCTAGTTAATTAACAAAACTAATCTTTTTTTTTATTGAAATGTTAATTAAGGTGTCCACTTACATATTCGCTTACTAATTTTTATTTGTTTAAACAAAATTACTTTGTTACAATTACTTTGTTACAATATAATATTCTAATACCAAAAAAAGTACTTGCGTGGCGTGAAAATATCTTTTGTGATCTAACTCTTTCAAAAGTACATAAAAATGATTGCCATCAGGGATGTACATGTATATTTATTAAATACACCTTGTGCGCCACCTAGGAACCAAATCTGGAACCCGACACTCGAAATTTGTGCTCTGTTACAATCGTACCCTGTTACAATTGACCCCACTCTCCCCTATTGTTTAATTTTGATACTTATCACATAATACCATTTTTGTTTGGAGCTATATAGCCCCTTCGGATACACGTGATAATAAACTATACAATCTATCCATGTATCAATTTGTGTTTCGTTCAGGGAAATTAAGATGTAACAGAAGCTCGTTCAACCAATAACATGCAAAAATAATTTCTGTCGCAAATAGTGTAAAAAATGCCAAGTATTTATGTCATTCAATTATTTCATTTCAATGCTTAAAATTGTGAATAGTTCATTAAAACATTCATGAATCATCTACACTTTACTCGTCAACAGATTTATGAATCTGGTCTGACGCCGTCAGACCTTTGAAGAACAAGTAACAACAACAATGAATTATCTAACACCGAAATGCATATTTGGACTAACGTGCGATAGTGAGCGAAACCAATCACTATTGTGCCAGAACTTTCGTTTTTTTTGATAAAAAATAAATTTTTTTTTACTGAAGCATGGAATAAATTAAAAATATAAAGTTTTTCTTTATTTTTTTTTCCATTTAAGTAGAGTAACTACAGTGAAACCTCTGGGGAGTGACTACCACAGTAAAGTGGACGTTAATGAAGGTTGATCATTCTTATGGGTTGACTTCAAAATGTTATTCAAGGTACATGATTTTTCGCAAGCGATTTAATCAGTATCATTTCTTTGGTGCTGAAATACTATTATCTATGAATAAAATTTAACGTCAATAATAATGATCCCTACTGATATTTATGAGTAAAAGAAATTAACAATTATGATGACTACTATTTTAAATAAATGAACAGCTATGCTTTTCGTTCGCATTTAATTTCATATTATAAAACGTAGTTAGCTTAAAAAAACGAAAGGAGGTTTGTTTGTAATGCTTGGTTTTTTTCCAAAAAAGCTTTTTTGTTTGAAATTTAACTTTCAACTCTAAAAATAAATCCTTGGATAGTCTCGTCTTTAGTGCGCTCTGACTGCAACATGAGGATGAAGATCTCTTTCAGAGATCGTCAAAAACAGCTATCTAAATGAGAACCTCACACAAATACTTTGGACACATTTTACTAGTTAATTTATTAAAAATGTTTAGACATTTTTTCATGTTTTTTTATTTGACTTTCTATACACTTGGTGCAGAGGTTTACCTGGGAGAGGTTTTGATCGTCTCTCTTACAGGTTTTCTATAACACAAAGTCTATTTGAAAAATTCTGTGCCTCCAACAAGAGGACCTCCCTCACCGTAAATAGAAGAGGTGGCTATATCAGGTGGTCTTTCCGGGAGGTTCCACTGCATTATGATTTTTCCATTTGTTTTAGTTAAACGTATTTTGATATTTTTTATACGTAAAATATTCCTGAAATTTTTAAGGATAAAAAGACAACAGGGGGGGGGGGCAAAGGAAATTTCCTTTGTATTAAGACAGTATTAGTAGTAAGCATGCGGAATCTCGTTCTGCTTAGTAATTATTGAAAAATATTGTGTTTTAGCTGAATGGAGCTTTGACTATTGGCACATTAGATGGGGCAAATGTTGAAATGAGAGACGAAATGGGACCAGAAAACATTTTTATTTTTGGAATGACTATTGAAGATGTCAAGAAATTGCAAGAGAGAGGGTAAATTATTTTTGACCACTTCATATCAGTTTTCTTTAGTTTTCGTTCCTATTTTTCCTTTTGGACGATGTCTTCAGGTAAACATATGGTTACTCACTCATGAAATTCATCTTTAATCACATTTTTTAATTTTGCGCCAAATTGAAACACTTTTAAAAATATTTTTAACTGATGAATAGAAAATCTTAAGATTTATTTTGATGAAAATAGAATGGCGCAGCATATGTTTTTTTACTATGTTTTTATCTCGTTGAATGCCATGGGGGTCACCGGTGACCGAAGCCAAGATTATTAGAAACACATAATTCGAGTAAATTTTTAATCCTTTTACTTTTTTTATACTATTATTGTTACTAAAATGGTTTAAAGAAATATCTCATCAAAATATGGAACTCATACTGAGAAAATCATTTTGGCCAGGCAAGCAAGCCGTGTAAAATTAGGGTAGCATTCAAAGTGTGAATAACTGGTGTTTGTGCCTGTCATATTGAAATTTTGCAATTCAATTTTTTACCATTGTTAAAACTAGAACATTCATATTATTGAAGCTCCGTAGTTGATGAGAATGCAAGCTTTGTTCGTTTTGTGACAGTTATAAGAATGCGTTATATCCAACTGTCATAAAAAATAATTAATAGAGTATCTGAATTTTAACTTTTCAATTAATAAGTTTCTAGTTAGCTATTGTACTTCTCTGCTTATAAAAATGCAAGTTAAAATTGTTAACTAAATGTAGCGAGTAAAAATTTTTTTAAGCAAGATTTTGATAATTTTTCAGCACTACACTAAAAAACTAAGAAGAAAATAGTAAAAAAAAAATAAACAACGATTTATGTTACTAAAAGCTGAGAAAATAGTTTTATTTCCGTCAGATCAAAATTGAGAATATCACTTTATATATTTAATATCATAAGGGAAAAACCCCTTCCCTATTGCTTTTGAGTGTTGTTGCCTACAGGTTTTGTTTTGGGTAAGAAAAAAGTTTTTTTTTCCCTTTTAATTTACTTTCAAAGATTTCTAATTCATTTCTACAGTTATAATATTACTAATAATAATATAAGAAATTAAACACTTGTTTCTAAAGATCTATTGGGTACTTAGAATTTGATCAGTCCTCCTAAGTTTTTACTTAATAGTTATTACTCTCACCTGACAAATACTTGAATTGGTAATAAATCCGATTTTCACGCGGGCTGGTCTAGTAAAGATTCAGTTTTCGCTGGATTCCTGGTGCCCTATTCCGGTACATCTCGAATTTAGATTAATAAGTTGTCAATATTCAGGTTCTGTTGTTCATACTACTTAATCATGATTAGGGATGTGAAACTTCAATATATCTTAACATTCTATTTGCTTTTCACTGAAGATAGTTTTTACATTATGTTTTTTAATGTGTGAGTAAAATCAAACATCAAACACAGTAAAATAAAATTAACAAATTTTTTTAAAAATACTTTAAGTTTCAAGAAACTATTTGTTTCATTATAACATTTTGTATTTATGATGCATTTTCCTATTAACACTTCTGTACCCCAAATAATACTTTTATAAACTCTACAAACTTGCATCCCAAAAGGAAACCTTTTTTTTAAAAACTAGAACTTTATATTCCAAAGGGATTTTTAACTTTTGTTTCATGTTAATGAAGTAAGCAGCAAACCAGTCATATTTCTGTTATAATTTTTAATTTCTCTTATTTTGCTAAACTATTGCTAATACTGACTAGTAAATTTTAAGAAAATGCAAGTGAAAGTGTGATTCTGTTGAAGGTATAAAGTCTGATTGAGAAATTAAGATTCTTCTAATCGGAGCAAATTAGTTCTTCATATAATTGCTTAGTTAGCGATATTTAAATATAGAAAAGTTTGTTAAGTGTGTTATCTTTAATATTCCAGATACAATGCAATGGACTATTATCAAAGGCTGCCTGAACTAAAACGTGCTATTGATCAGATCAAAGGGGGATATTTCAGTCAACAGAATCCGGATCAGTTTAAGGATCTAGTAGATGTTATTCTGAAATATGATAGGTAAACAAATTTAGTCCTCTAATATGATAAAAAGTTAATTCAGTTGAAAAGCTTGAGGCAATATAATAAGCCTAATTTTTTTATTTATGTCACTTGTCAATCAGCAAGCCTGTTTGTAATCAAACGAATTTTTAAGGGAGAGAGTGGTTATCTTGTTTTTTCAGTGGTGACATCTATGGCTTAAAAAACTACTTCAGCCACACACACGCGTTAAAGCTCGTCTTACAGAAACGACCCAATCACACTCCATTCATCCGCATATCGTAATTTTGACCTGAACCAGAGAACGATCAGTCTCCAATTCAGTACCCAAGAGGTATTTTATTTTATAATTTTATAACCTTCATTGAACAGCCGACCCAATTTTATGAGTTTACGACTACTAATGTTCAACTCCGTAGCCTTGTAATTTTGAACCCAATCCAGAAGACAAGGGAACTCCTAGATCGATTATTGGGAGAAATTTGCCTTCGTGGAGGACTTTTTTGATGGAGCTAACCCGCATTTTCGTTACATAGAGAGGAAGACCACGATAACCTCCCATGGTTAGCCTGACGGCAAGGGGACTCTAAATGATCCGTCTACTACTGAGGATATTTCTCGTCAGCACTGTGGTCAGTGCAAACCGGATGCGGAATTCGTATCGACTGGGATTCGAACTCAGTTCGCCTCATTGGAAGGCGAGCGCTCTATCCCCTGAGCCATCGCGACTCCCCCAGAGGTATTGATCTGTTATGGGGACTAGGAGGACTTCATAACCCCACTAGATTTAACCTACTCCTGTTACCATTTAATACACGGAAATTATTCTGTGGAATTCGAACTCCTGTTCTCACAAACATGAGCCAAACGTCCTACTAACCAGAGTTGGCCAAAAATGTAATCGATTACATTTTTTGATTACAGTAATCAATTACTTGTAATCAAGATTACAATTTTCAAAAATTTTGATTACAGCTGTAATCATGATTACAATATTGATTACAGTAATCAATTGTAATCGTGATTACAAAGTTTGATTACAGCTGTAATCATGATTACATAGTCGATTACAGTAATCAATTACTTGTAATCATGATTCCAAGTAATTGCGATTACAAGTAATCACAACAAAAACGATTACAAGTAATTATGATTACAAGTAATCAAAATATATGATTACATGTAATTTGATTACATGTAATTTGATTACATGTAATTATGATTACATGTAATCTAATTACACGATTACAAGACTATTGTATTCTTATAAATGATTATATTTTACAGTAGATAGTAGAATGTATTTTATAATGATACATTTTGCACGTATTAACATGTACTGCATTTTGTACGTATTTGTATACGTACAAATGAATGTAACTGAAATGTATGTACATATGATTTTATCTAGTGCATATGTTCAGACATTTTAGTATCACACACATGTACATACACTTATATTGTAGGTATAAAATATATGTACGTATGTATATAGATAATAATTACGTATGTATGTGCAAACAATGTAGGCATGTACATTTATACACAATGAATATATGCATTTTATGCAAATATTTGTGTATGTAAAATGTATATCTATGTTCATGTACGCATGTATATACAAGTACTTGTGTTTGTACGAACATACATACATTGTCTGTACAATGTATGTCCCATGCATGTATGTGCAATTTATTTATGAACAGTACAATATATGTATGCATGTACAATATAGGTATATCTGTAGGATGTACAATATATGTATGTATACATGTACATGATATGCATGTCCAGTGTATTTATGTACATGTACATAATATGTTCATGCTCAATGTAAGTATCCAAATATGCATAATACATTTGTGAACTATTGTACGTACATTGGGCGTATTTATATTTCACATATATTCATACATGCATTCGACATGCATAACGTACGTACATACACACATTTGAGATGCATATATTGTACAGATGTATATACATATAGCGTACAGATGTATATACATATAGCGTACAGATGTATATTCATATAATGTACATATGATGAAATGAACATATAATGTTCATATAATGTACATATGTGTGTACATATACAGTACGTATGTGCATAAATATATTGGGCATAATTCTTTCGTACAAATTTTACATGTGTACATGCATGCTATCCCTATCTATGCATATGGTGCAATGTATATATGTACAATGAATGTATCCACACATGTACAATACACGTATGTTCCATGTATGCATATCCATATGTACTATATATGCACGTACAATACATGAATGTATGTACATACATTGTACATGCGTACATACATTACACGTATACATATGTACATTACATTTATGTCTAAATATGTGTACAATGCAATAAATAAAATGCATGTAAGTTAACTTTTAATGACTCAAGCAAGTTAAATGACAAAATCAAACGATATTTAAATTTAGTTTTCAGCTTTAATTGTTCTATATCATTTTGAAATTCTCTGAATAAAAAATTATTTTCAGGTATTTTCATGAAATGTTTGACAATACAGATTTATTTTTTTTATAACATAATGCATGATTCATAGAAATTTTTTAAATGGTAAGAAAAACGGTAAATTTTATGTGTGGAATTAATATTTAGAAATTCCAAATAAAATTATCGTTTGCTTTCTAAAAAATATGAGGTCGAGTTTCATATACCTTAGAATAATTTTAAAACAAATTTTAATAACTTTACTCATATAAATTTTTTTAATGTATGCACAATGTATGTGTATATTGTAATTACATATATTTAAATGTACGCACGTATTTGTACATTACTTGTAATTATGTACATGTATACGTTGTATGCACATGCATACATTGTGCATATAACTATTTTTTTGTACATCCATGCATTACATGCGCATAAGTATTAACAAAGTATGTAGTTATACAAGTACATACGTAAGTTGTACATAAGTACATACTTTGCGTGCACATATATCGATGTACATCTAAATATGCATGTATACATGTACGCATTTTATTTACGCAAATATGTGCATTTATTGCACCTTTAAATAACATTCTTACATATTGTACGTAAATACGTACAATTTTATATACATACGTACATTGTATATATGTACTATTATCGTAAATTTATACAATATATGTACTTAAGTACATGAAAGCATACAAACGCATAAACATTCTTTTCATATACGTTCATACATGCATTGTCTTTGTATACAAAGATACAAAACATTGCCTTTTTGTACAAACTAACATACATGCCTACATGTATCATAATTGCATAATTATATGTACTAAGCATATGCGCATTGCATTAAGTATATTACAATATAATTATGAATATTGTACGTACAAACAACGTCTGTGCATACATTGTATGTATAGGAATCGCAAATTGTACGTTCATGCATGCGTAGATTCTATGTACATAAAAATATGTAAACACGTGAATACTTACTACATAAAAAATTTGACTATAGTATACAATCGTAATAACTTGTAATCGTATAGTTTGATTACAAGTAATCACAATTACATGTAATCACAATTACATGTAATCACAATTACATGTAATCAAATTATATGTAATCATGATTACATGTAATCATATATTTTGATTACTTGTAATCATAATTACTCGTAATCGTTTTTGTTGTGATTACTTGCAATCGCAATTACTTGGAACCATGATTACAAGTAATTGATTACTGTAATCAAAATTGTAATTATGATTACAGCTGTAATCAAAATTTTTTGAAAGTTGTAATCACGATTACAAGTAATTGATTACTTGTAATCGTGATTGCAAGTAATTGATTACTGTAATCAAAATTGTAATCATGATTACAGCTGTAATCAAAATTTTTCGAAAGTTGTAATCAAGATTACAAGTAATTGATTACTACTTGTAATCGTGATTACAAGTAATTGATTACGTAGCTGTAATTATCTGTAATCAATTACAGTTGTAATCGTTTACTGTAATCAACGGCCAACTCTGCTACTAACCAGGCGATCTCAGCCTTCATTTTTAAATTGTTCGAAGGGGGTGTTAAGACTTAAAACACCTCCATTTCCATATAGGGAATAAGATGTCTCTGTATCTCGTAATCTAGAGGAAATTCCAGGTATTTGTAAAGTATGTATTTAGAAAATTTTCCAAGTTTAAATTAAGTTCATAAGATATAACTTTGCTGTTCAATTGTGTTTTTAGTGAAATGAATAATTTTGGAAACATGACTTTTCATTTGAGAATCTTTTTAATGAATAAAGGGATTATATTGCAAGTTTTTATATATTTATAGTGTATTCTGCATTTTCAACCACTGCATACGTAAAAGCATTAAAACCTGTTTGATTGCTTTAGAAAACCCAAAAGGAGTTGAAATTTAAATTATCAGAAGCTCCTCCATATTTAATAATATAATGGATGTTTTCAGTGTGGCCTTCTTCGGCAGTGATTCTTCTGATTTTAATGAAATTTCTTTTTCTTTCTAGTTTTATTATCTATCTTAAACCACTCATGAATATATTTTTTTCGATCTCAATTTATTAAGGCTTTTAATATATATATATTAACGGTGGTGATTGCGGTGAACCTTGTATAGTTTAAAAATAAAGGATTCGAAACAAGAAATTAGAAGGAATTCCCGGAATTTAAAAGGTTAAAAGATCAATCGTTTGTAACTGAACATACTATCTTTTACTGAACTAACTCCTACAAAACTCCTAAAACCAAAAATGTCATTATTATTTGACTTGAACTGAAGATCTAATTTTTCCTTTATACTTGCAGATTTTATGTTTTGGCTGACTATGAAGATTATATGAAATGCCAAGAAAAAGTTAACGAGACTTATCTGGTAAGAAAGTGCTATTTAGCATTTTTTTTTAATTTTTTTTATAAGTAACTGAAGCAAATGAAGTTGGAAGATTATCGGTTTCTCAGAAAAGTTTTATTATTGTTTACGCGAGTTCATTTAAATTTACGCGAATGCTTTATCATTAACTAGAACAAGGCAAAACGACTGCAAAAAGGTGAGATATTTAAAATTATAGAAAATTTATTTTTGTCTTTAATTTTTAAGTTATAAAGCGCACAGATTACATCAAAAAGGAAAAATATATATTATATTTTACTTATATATATATATATTATAGTTATAAGATGCATGTTGTTTGATCATTATGCATTTTAGAACAATAATTTATGTACTAAATTAACTTTTTTTGTAACTAGGGTATTTAAAAATATAATTATTAATCATCGCAAGTTGATACAGTTTTTAAAATAAGAGATTGTAAAAATAGCACTTATTGCCGATTTTCATTGTTTTGTAGTGAAATGTGTCTAATGTTCTTATTTGAATACTGTGCAATAACAATGCAATTTTTCTCTTCTGCTTAAAATAATTATTACAAATTTAAGCATTCTTTTCATTATGAAACAATAATTGAAGCATATGAAGTTGAAAGATATTTAGTTTCTCAGAAATGTTTGTATAATTTACATAAGGGTTTTACCATTAGTTTAACTGGAAAAAGGTGAAAAAAATTGAAAAGGCCAGGCGTTCACAATTATCGAAATTGATTTTGTATTAATTTAAATTATAAAATACACATATTAATACAAAAAGAGAAGAAAAAAATCTTATTATAGGGAATATTAAGATGCATGATGCTGGATAATTATTCATATAGAACAATAATTTCATACATTAAATTACTATTTTTTGTAATTATGATATTTTGAAAATATTATAAAGCAATCATCGCCAGCGAATGTAATTTTCTTTAAAGCGTAAAAAATAGCACGCATTGCAATTTTCCATTACATTGTAGTGACTTGTATATAATCTTATCTGAATGTTGTGCAACTACGATGTAATTTGTCTTTTTGTTTGTAATAAAAATAATAAATTGAATAAAATATAATAAAATTTTCCCGGCAGAATGGAACTAAATGGACAGAAATGGCTATAAATAATATTGCAACTGCTGGATTTTTCTCGAGTGACAGAACCATTTCTGAATATGCAAAAGATATTTGGGGTGTGACACCATCTAGAGAGAAGCTGCCAGATCCCCATGAACCCGCTGAATTACAAGATTCGAAAAAGAACACTAAAGGAAAATAGAGCTTAGTTTAAAATTTTCTCAGGAATTTTATTTTGATCGAAATGTATATTTTTGATGTTTATCTTTAAGAGTTATATTGTAGAATTTTTTTTTTCTTGTTGATTAAAATATTTACTCAATTTTGTCGTTATCAATTTCAATGAACTTAGAAAATTCGAATTGGTATCTTGCGAAAAATAAAACCTATTTTTGTAGTTTATTTTATACAAGATACAGAGTGTCCCATATTAGATTGACGAAGTTCAAACATTTGTTACAGGGCAAGAGTTAAAGTTTAAAAAAAAAACAATTTTTGAATTTATAAACTTTCAAAAAAAGGATTAAAACGATTGACGAAGGACAAATCGTCAAAATATGATGTGCAGATTGCGACTACCTCTCATATTTCGAGGGTCAAAAGTCCTAACCTGTGAAAAATTACTTTTTTCAGAGAAGAAATTTTTTTTGTCTGATTTTGGGGCTTAAAATTTCGTCTGCCTTAATTTGCACTTTTAAAGTTAGCTCCTCAAACCATTCAGATTGACACCCAGTACGTTAAAATACACTTTTTAGATGTAGAGTTCTTCTGATTTTCTTTTTTTGATCATTTTTTACTAATATGCTATATTAATTGCTTAAAAGGGGATTTTAAGTACACAGTGTCGACATTGACTTGTATATTGAGGGTTTGAAAGTTAAAATCTTTCAATAAAAGAATTTCAGAGATGGTTTTTCTTTTGGTTTTATTTTGTAACTTGCAGCATGATCTGCATTAATTAATTCAAACTTGACGATTCATTAATAAATTAAAATGAATTCTTAGTAACTTTGAAAATTTTATCTGTAGACCAAAAGCTTTTTAAAATATTCAATTTGATATTTTGTGCATTATACATTTTGTTTCTTAGGATTATTAACACTTTTTAAAAATGTTTTAGGAGTTACCAAATTATGCAAAGAATATCCCCAACCATTGTAATGCAATAAAATAAGTGTACTAGTCAAAAAATGCTTTATTGCGAAACGTACTAAGAATACAATGCTTTCAAAAGGGTACTATGCTTACAACTGAGTCAATACTAAGAGTACAGCATTTTCAGAGTGAATCATATTTTACAAAGATAAGTAACTTAAAGATTTAAGATAAGTTACATTAAAGTAACCAAAGATAAGTTACTTTAAAGTATAAGAAATGCAGTTGGGTGCTGTCTCCTTGCCCCATATAAAAAATGATCATTCCAAGTATTTTTCTTGTCAACTCTGCTGAGACAATTTTCAATATTTTTGTTTTATTCTTTACTTTCCATGCCTTACGATATAAGTCTGATTACGAAAAAATTTAAAATCGAAGGTTCTTTTTGTTTGAGAAATAATTTTTAAAGTTAGATTAAAGAAATCAACAACCGAAATTTTTACCTACATAGTTTTAAATGTAACACTATAACGTAAGGTTTAATTCTAGAAAAAGTTTTTAATGAATTTTTTTAAGCAACTTTACATAAAATGGTTAAAAAGTAAAAACTTATGACCCTAGATTGGTGATAACGGTTGCAGCTGGCTAAACATTGCCTTGTTCTAGGCATTGGGGGCTGAAGAAGAAAAAAAGATCAAATTTAATCACTTAAAAATGAATAGAACACCCATTAACTTTTCAATAAAAAATACAAAAATCAAAGACAAACCTAAGATAGAGAATATTTTTAATTGACGCCATTTAAAATCAACATTTTGCTATATAGTGCATTTGAATAAGTAAATATTAGCTCACTTCGTGTAGTAATTTGATATTAAAAAGGGTATTTTATGTTTAGTATTATATATTCAGACATATTCAAGCAAATTTGTTATAATATTCAGTAAGTTTTATTATAGCTAGTATTATATATTCTAAAAATGTTTTATTAAAATTATACATATTTTATTGTTAAATAGTTTTCTAAATGATAATTAAAAAATAATAGTTGAAATTTAGTTATAAAAATTTTAAGTACTGAAGTTCAATACATTTAAATGTCTTAAAATCGTATCGTCTTGTAGATGTATTAGTAGAATACGAACATTTGGAATTTTCATCGAGGTCAAAATTGATTTTTTTCTTTAGTCGCTGACGCCTGTTAACCTTCGTGTTTGTTTTTTGAGCTTATTTTTATATCGCTAAAACATTCAAAGAACTTCTAAGTAAACCTTTGAGTTGAATTAACAGTAAGCTGGTACATGTTGCTTCCCTAGATTATGACAATTTCTTGAAGTTAAAAAGATAAGGAACCTTTTATGAGTTCGGATGTATTCCTGGATGGATTTTCGAGTTGTTCTCTTAGAATGCGATAGTCTGACTAGTAGTTTTTTGGGCACATGTCCGAGAGGGAGTGTGTTCAATCCCAGCCGGCCAAAGACTGCCGGCGTATAAAATGGTAACTTGTGCAAGCTAAATCTGTTGGAGTCGCATAGTACTCCAAGTTCCCATAACAATTTCGAAACCTTTGGGGATATTGGATTGGATTGATCGTGCTCTGGTTCAAGTCAAAATTACAATTTGTGTGAATATGTACTTCGTGTAAAACAAACTGGATGTGACGTATGTATGCGGTCTCATCCTCAGGGATGTTTCCTAAACCGTCGCCAACAACTTTAGTGCGACGTAAATAAACACGGTTCCCAGCAGATCACCGAAGTCAACACATCACTGGCTGCGGTCAGTGTGCGGGTGGGTGACCACTTGGATCAGTCTGTGTAGGGACCAAGGGTGTGCGGTATTGGTCCTCGTTAAACTGTTCTACCGTAAAGTGCTCGACTTCGCGTGCAGGTCGTTGGGCTACCGAAGTGGAGGTGACCCCTCCGCAGTGGATCAAAATTATGATGGCATGTCTTAGGATCATCCTCAAGGATGTTTCCCAGACTGTCACCAATAGCCTATTGTGCAGCTCTAGTGCGACGTAAATGAACAATTACAACTATTACTTCTCATTTTTACTGGAACAAAAAATTTGATAATATATCACAATTTGTACTGTAATGATTACCGTAAAATCACTGAGTCACTCTAATTAAGTAAATATTTCTGTAAAAATTACGGTATAATGTTTAATGGTAAAAATGATTCTACGTTAAACTGCATTTTACGGATGATGCATACCGTAATTTGATCAGGAATTTTTTTACAGTGTAGTTGACATGTTCAGAACTCTCTATACAAGATACTCGCTTCTTAAACCCACCACGAAAGAATAATTTAAACAAAACAGTTTTTTTTTAAAAAACCACAAAGCTCCCAATAAAAAATTAAATAAAGATGAAAATAAATAAATACACAAGACAAGAGAACAGATTAGTTAAGACAAATATCGAATAGTTATTTAAATCTGAATTAATTTTCACTTACATTTGAAGACTTCCACCACTAATCGCTTTAAAAATTCATGAAAATTAGATTAAATTCATTTATATTGCTATAAATATTTTAATTATGTGACACTTTCTGTGGGTGTCACATAATTAAACTGTGCTACCGTAAAGTGCTCGACTTCGCGCGCAGGTCGTCGAGCTACCGAAGCGGGGGTGCCATCCCCTCCGCAGAGGATCAAAATTGTGATGGCATGTCTTCGGATCATCCTCCGGGATGTTTCCCAGACCGTCGTCAATAGCCCATTGTGCAGCTCTAGTGCGACATAAATTAACAACAACAACAGCGACGTAAATAAAAAAAAGACGCTAAAAAATGATCCTCTTGTTCATGTTTCGTTTTCTTGTCATGGGTTATTAAGCAGTTTTTTTTGCACCGAATACACAGGTCTGTATATGTGCAAGAAATAAATTTAAAAGATAAAAATTTTGTAATGGTGCTGTTTCACAGTACATGTGAAAGAAAAAAAGCCTTCGTTTTTTTCAATACTTCGAGGGAAAAAGTTATCAGAATGAAAAAATTTCAAAATAAATTTGGAAAATAATAGTTTATAGAAAAACCGCCTTGCCTATATGAGAAACAATGCAATACATATAAAAGAAAGTTTCATTCATAACAGTGGATTACAACAATGGATTTCCGTATTTCCGATATTGGACACAAACTTAACCTCGTAGAAAGTAGAGTACAAATTATTGCCCTCTTTGAATTAATAGAATACAAATGCTCATACATACAGGCATGCTTTAAATTTTATGTACATAGAAAGATGCATCAGACAACATTTAAAATGCAAATTTTAAGATGCAAAAAGGCCAACTCAATTAATTCAATCAGTGCCACAAAAGGCAATCCAAAAAATAACCCAAGATTTCCACCAATAATACTTAAAAGTTCCCAAGTGTAATATTTACTTTTGTGTCGAAAAATCTTTCTATCAGATGTATCATAAACAATTTCAATCGATGCAAAGTTTTTTCTGAAGTCTCTTATTTCTTCTGAGCGGTTGAGTTTAACTTTCAAATACTTATTAAAGTAACTTTCTGATGGCCAAACTGTTTTAGACATTTGCGTATGATAATTTGTCGTTAAGCAATCCAACGGACAATCGCAAACGACGCCTCCATTTATCGTTGTGTTTCTTATGGAGTTGAACAAACATCTAAGGTGATCCAAGTTTGTCATGTTACAATATGTTCCATAATAATACTTTGTTTGAATAGTCGGGTCAACGCAGTTACACCACTTATTGTTTTGTTTTTGAATGCATTCATAAGCACACTCAATTTTGTTAGTTGAAAGCGCTCTATAATCTTTACACCCATCTTGATACGGTGACGGTAATCTTTCTATATCAGTACTTGAGACTTTTATAGATGTCTTAAATCCTGGACTGATATGAAATCCTTTTTCTGAAACCATCGTAGCCTCATGTTTGTCATGAATAATAATTTTTGCTCCTATACTTGGTGATATAGATTCGATATATGAATCTGTATCTAAACTTAAAATCATCTGTAACGAGTTGTCAGATAAAAATTTTAGCTCTCTGTTATGGAAATCAGAAAAGTCATGCCCGTGTAAACAGTATCCATATTTGAAAGTTTTAAGACCATCAAATTCAACTGGAGAACACTTTTCTCCATTAAACAAGCAATGAATTAAAAGATTCTTTGCATCTTTTTCTGAAAAAAAAGCATCATCACTCATGTTTGAAAAAATGTTTATTAATTTCAATGC